GTCTCCACGGAGATGAATGGAGCTGTATACCATTTTTATGCTTCCTACATCTCTAGTTTGGCTCCTGGCTTCTCTTAACTGCTCTAATTTACATGCACTTGTAACAACCTCCCAACACCTAGTGCATTTTTCCTAAATGTATTAGCATTCCTGTGTATTCCATTCTAACTAAGGCAGCTTTACTGGGTCTTTGCATCATGGTTGTGACTCAGAGGATCTGTATACCGAGCTCTCTAGATACAACTCTTTATAGTGAATTCAGCCCTCAGCTTCTCTGCCGAGATGTCCCTCCAGAATATCCATTAACACAAGCTGCAATGTTTGTGATACAGACACTGGGAAACTGAGACTCTGTCATCAAACTACTTTCACGCAGGCCACCAAACAGCTATTGCATAGTAGAACTTTCACTTTGAAAGGGCCTTTAATCCAGCTTTAGCTTTTACTCTAAAAAGAGAATGAAGAAAACAGGTTTGTTTGTTTGTTTTTTCCGGGGAGAGGCTGGTACCACTTGTGTTCTTGTGGGCACAATGCCAGATTTATGACATACAGATATCTCCTTTCTTCTGAAAAGCTTTTGCTTCACTGGCTTGAGGAAAGTACTGTAAAAAGGTTTGACAATGTTGTAGTGTATTTGCTAATTTTTTTTAGAAGTCAGCCTCCTGGCTGTAATGTTACTTTGGCTCCTTGCCGGAAGCCGTTGGTCACTGAAAAGAACAGCCTGATGCAGAAGTAGCAGAGGTAAGTTCTCTTTCTTCTTCCTCTGTTTCACCTCATTTGCATTTATTTTATTTCCCACCCACCTTTTTATGTGCTTTTCACCTGCTCCAGGAGAAAAATTATTTAACACTGCAGGTCATGGTCCTGTGTATTAGTTGTTACTTGACCTTATGAGAGAGCATTTAAATTCACAAAAAGTACAATAGAACTGTGATAAATCAGATTTTTTTTAAAAGGACAAATATTGTTTGCAGTGGGGTATTTTACCTCACTGTACCATAATAAGTTATTGCTAGTGACTGATTTGAGCATGAGCTAGTGGCATTTTCATTGTTTTATTCTTAAAACAGGGGTTTATTATTTTGTCAGTAGTAATATTACACACCAGTCACTAAATATTTTACTGATTTCCAGGAAAAGCAGGAAAATGCCTACATAGTGTTTAATGTTAGAATTTAAAGGTGAATTCTTAAGCATAGGGAGAAGAAAAATCACATAATAAGTTAAACATTATGTGCCTAACAAGGTCCTGGTATTTTGCAAGCCTAAGTTAATCATCAGCAGAAGATAAGTAAATATGGAACGTATTTACTTTGGAGGACTATTTCAGCCATCGTCTTATCAATTCTGGGCCATGTTTGACCACACAATATGTTAATGATCAAGTGAATACCTATTAGATTTGAGATGCAATTCTAACTTGTTTGATATACTCAGTAGCGCTTAAGACAACATTTTCAGAAGGTTGGACATATAAACTTGGGAGTCTGTGTAGCTAAAATGTGACTCTGGGCTTTTCTGAGTATTTATGGAACATTCAGAAAAGGAATGGAAGTCACCTTAGACAGCTATCAGACTCTGGTTGGAAAAGCAGACCAAGAGGGTGAAACAGGAATAGGTTAAAGAGTTGGGTAGTCATCCTCAATTTTCAGGACCCCTAAAACACTAGCCACTAAAGTATGTGCCTATCTTTTCATCTCTTGTACAACTCATCCTAAAGCCCAGGTCTGAAATGCCCACCTGGCTAAAACTAAATGTCTCATTTCTCTGCTCTTCATGCAAGGAAAGTCATGCCCTCATACAGAATTTGGCCTTCATACTTTCTTATTTGCTAAGGTTTCAGTGTCTTCTTTTGGATCCATTGGTTTCTCTAGAGTTGGTTTGTCCACATAAGCCTGTTTAGATAGGGCCACCTCTTCTTTCTGAGGCCCTGTGTAAGCGTTACATTTCTATTGGGAGAATTATCATTCTCCTGGTACAAATGAGAAGTCTACAAACATTCACTGAATTTCTCCTGAGGAAAAAACACCTCCAGGTCTCAACCAAGAAGATGTCTCTTAAAAGAGAGTTTCTCTTGCAAGAGGGAATGCTTATGAGCCCATCTCCTGGTCTGGTCTGAAAGGGAAGGGGATCAGCAACAGCTGCTCCCTGACTCTTCCCTAAATTGGGGATTGCCTGGTTTAGGGAAGGACTGGGGGCTTTGCCCCACTGCTCCGTCCCCCTGCCCTCCCAGACCAGTCACTACTCCTTGCCTCTTCCCCAGGACATTCTCTGGTTTGGGGAAGAGATTGGGGGCGGAGGGGGGGGCTGTTGTCAGGCCTCGCATTGCCACTCCTGGACCCAGATGAGTAGTGGGGGTAGGATAGGGGATTGCAAACCCTCCAGGGGCCAAGAATTGGGCTCAGGGAGACTGTCCCCAAGCCCAGTTCCCTGGCCACAGGCTTAAATGCTGTCCCTGCTACCCACCTGGGTGGTGGAGGCAGGGATAACAGAGCTCTAGGGGCCAGGAGCCAGGACTGGGGAAGCTGTCTGTGCCCCAGTTTGAGGCCCCACAGGCTTTAAATGTCACGTGTACCATTCAGTTGGGTGACACAAAAGGCAGTTTATTAAAAGCTGGGGAACCAGGACTCAAGGTCAGGGAAACTCCATTTCTGGCTTTAAATTGTGCCATGTGCAGCTCATCTGGGCTACATACAAGAGGATTTAAAACCCTGGTGCTGCCTATTGACAGCCTTTCCCCTTCCCCAGCAGGAGAGAGGGCAGGCTGTCAATTAATGAGCTTCCCTAAAGGCTGGGGTGGCCCAGGACACAGCCCTGTAGTACACCCTGACTAGAGAGCTCACCTGTGTAGCTCTCCAGGCAGGGTACTGGAACGAATGTACGACCCAGCTTCCAGGCTATTTTTCTATAAGAAATTCTTACTGGTAGAAATGAATGTCTGTATGCAGCATAGAGCATTCTAGTTAAGAAAGTCTTTTGCACCATCATTAAAACAGTGTTACAAGTATTACCCTCACATGATGTAGTTTCATGAGAAGTACTTATTGAAGAGAAGCATTCTCCTTCTAGCTTATATTTTTTCCTAAGGCACCTTTCTTTGTGCTGTCATATTCCTTCTATTGTGTTGTCTCCCTCCTCTTTTGTCAGTAATAATTATGTCTTTATTAGGCTCTGATCTTGCAGACATTTAGCCCACAAGTCACTTATCTCATTTTGTTCCCCATACAGATATTTACTGACTGGTTGCAAGTTATCTTGTGTTTGATAAGCTATATAGATTAAAATGTGAGATTCTGCATCTATTAGGCATGTTTTTCCATCTTTAAATTAATTTGGTGACTCTCCTCTAAACTTTCTCCAGTTCAATAACATCCTTGAATTGTGAATAAGAATAGGGCCTCTCATTTGTAAATCTCAAGGCAGGGTCTTTCCATTTCACCAGTTTGTAAAATACCATGGATACCTTTAGGGCTACATACAGAATAACAACTCACATTGATGTTTTTTCCAAACAGGAAGGCATATATGTTTCCACTCTAGAAGAGCAACACCATGGAAAAAAGAATCATTCCTGACCAAATCAAAGACAAATCACTTTCCCAAGACAAAAGTGTTGGGCCACTTCCTGCCAAAAGAATACATCCTACTTTTTCAAAGTTAAAGGTATAAAAGATATCGCTCATCACATACTAACTTTAAAATATTGAAAATGATGATTTGATGTTTTATAAAGATCCAGTGAATTTATATGATAGTACTTTACACTATACATGAGAGATAAGAAAACATTACTGCTTTGGGTTTTGAGCCCAAGCCTTATGAAATCAATGAGAATATTCAATGTGTTTCAGATCAGGATGTACTGTGGTAATGGTGTAGCAGCAACAATAATGAAAAAAACAGCTACATCATTGTTGTCATTGTCATCATCATAAGTTTTATGCATGAAAGTTCTCAGGGAAGAAAATACCTAAAACTCAAATAAAGCTGGTAGACAGTGCCCTGTCCAACAGCCCTTCTCAGATTGGACATGAAAATATAGAACATACTCAAAATTAAATTCAAATATTTTTATTGCAAAGCAGGAGTCTTTGTAAGTCAACTGAATAAAAAAATACAATCTCTGCTTTAATGGAAACTGTTGAAAAAGGCTTTTTACACAACAACTATAGAAGAAGAAAGTATCCAATCTGTGAATTGCCTCTCCAGATTGGATGAATAAACCATTCAGGTGTTGAGAAAAAGAAAAGTTGTTCTTCATAAACTCTTTTCCCCCTTTTTCTTCAGCTATTTCTTGGGGCACTAGCATTTTCCTTTTTTGCAAAAGGACTTTCTGGAAGCTATGTAAAAAGCATATCAACTCAAATTGAAAGGAGATTTGAAATCCCATCATCACTTCTTGGTATTATTGATGGTAGCTTTGAGATAGGTATGTACATTTCTCTTTCTCAAAGTAAAAGTATGTGCCTTGGTAATGGAGGCATTAGAAATATATGGACTACTAGCAACGATTATGTTTTGAATCTGTTATTCCTTTAGTAGTTTTGCTTACATATCTTCTAATGGCACAGGTAACTTAATGGTGATGATACTGGTGAGTTATCTTGGACCAAAAGTTCACCGACCAAAAGTAATTGCTGTTGGATGTCTCATCATGTCACTTGGAACATTTTTATCAGTGATGCCTCATTTCCTAATGGGACGGTAAATATGGCTGATTGGTACACTATGCACCATTTGGACATGAATGTTTAAAGTGGATTCCTTTTAATATATTTGCAGTAAGCTGAACTGCAAATTTCAGTTTCCTCTGAATACTGGATCAGTAGCATTATAGGGCAGATATTTTGCTATTCATTGACTCTGATTTATTTACTGAGAGCCTGTCCTGAGCTTCTCAGCACTCTAGCTGTTGTAGTATCAAATTCAGTTCAGGCCAACTGCTTTTCAGACAGATTTCACAATCTATGCTGAGCTCTTGAGCGGCTGTGGCTAGCCTATGACTCATACCAAAGTTAGTCATGGCTGTCACTACAATGTAGGTATACCTACAGATGCTGTAAAGGACAACTATGCTTTCCATGTGTGAACCATTGACCCTCTTGCACACCACCATGAACAGCAGACCATTTCTTCCTTACTCTTCTGAACAAAGACTAGTTCAAATCATCCAGCTATTTGAATGTGCATCTAAGTAAAATACTGGAATTTTGTAGTCAGAATTACCTTTAAAAATTAATGTGGCCAGGGCTGGCTTAAGGAGTAGGCAGCCCCTAGCTGTGAAGGCAGCACTATAGTCCCCTTTGGAGGTCTTTCAAAAGCTATCAGTTAGTCTTCTTGGGGTGAATTCTAAATTGTGGTTCAAGTACCTATAGGACGGGAGAGTTGATGTACAGAGACATTTCCTGAATGCTAAGGTCATATACAGTATTTGTACAGGACAAGTCTTTTATATTTCAACTACAATCTACACAGTTGTTTTCCAGTTATAATTATGAAAGAATATCAGTTTCTATCAACAACTCCTCAACAAGTGTATCAGCATGCTCCCCAACATTATCTTTGCATCCTTCAGCTTCAGATGATATGGAAGCAGCTGAAGAGCTGAAAGATTCTGGTAAGCAAAGGCTCTATAATTCAAATTTCTCTTAGTTATCTTCATTTTCTTTTTTTATTGATCACTAAAAGGAGACTCAATACATGCACACATGGAGATAATGGAAACACTAATATGTATGTGTATGTTGCTTGAAGAGACAATATGGAGTTAGAGGCCAAATCAAAAAAAAAAGATTTAGGTGTCTAAATTGGGCTATAGGTGGACTTTAGGTGTGTGCATGCATTAAAAATCCAAATCCCCAAAGCGTCTACTTAGTGGCCACCTAACTCTGGGGGCAACTAAATGCACTAGGCACTTCCCTTGTGGATCCAAAGTTCCATACGTACCTGTAATGCCTTCTGCAAATGCCTAGAAGTGCCCCAATCTGAGTACCTAGCAGGTGCTTACCTACTGTCTAACTCCATTTCCATTCAGAAACAATGTGAGAAGATGCCCAAGATCCTTGAAAAGCCCAATCATGGTTCATGCTTCACAGTTATGGAATTCAACTGGGAGAGTGGTGTTTTAGGGCATTTATATGGGGGGGGGGGGGGGGACACCTGAACTAGCAATGCTCTGAGAACCATGATAATGAAAAGCTTCAAGAGCATCACGTGTATCAGCATCCCTGCACTGAAAAATGATGGCAGGGTGCTTTGAACTAAAGTTCATCAAATAAGCTTTAGTTTAAACTGCCCCACTGCCATTTTTCAGCACGGGGATGCTGATACATGTGATGCTGGAGGATGCTGGAGCACGTTAAATTTCCATGCTCCAGCAGACTCAATTAATCAAGTGCTCTGATGTGCTGGAATTACAGTGCATCAGAGACAGCTCCCTGCATGTGTATAGGAGCCCTTAGGTTCTAATTCATCTTCCTAAGGTTGAGTATTTTACATTAGGTTATAAACAGACATTGTCTTTGGAGCAGGATCAGCTGTGCTGGGGTGTGTGTCACTGATGCCATTGTCCCACAAGCTCAGGCCTCTGCTGTTTCCAGGGTTTCAGGGACCAGCTCCTGTTGGTCAACAGGGCCAAGTACCATGACCATAGGAGTTCCCTCACTTGCACATGTGCACCCCAAGTTGTTGTGTGGCAGCCTGCAGGCACATATCCTGAGTTGGGGTGCAGCAGTGAGATATACCCCATGGGGGGCAGGGGGCATGGTTCCTGCACTTGCAGACATGTGCCCTGAATTGGGGCATGGCAGCCTGATATGTGTTGTAGGAAAACTCTGCAAGGGGATTCCCCAAGTGTGCCTCTGCAAACATACCCTAGAAATGCCCATGCAGGAGAATTCCTATCATACACAATAAGCAGATGTGTTCCCATTTAGGCTAGGGACAGACATTCAAAAAGCCCAAGCCTGAATCGATTAAATCTTTGCAGTTTAGTTTAACCTGCAGATATTGAACTGATTTGCAAATGGATAGAAGTTCACTTTTGATTCGGGAAATGCAGGCACATGTCTGCAGTGGCTCAGGCTAGAAGCTGGGGGACACTACTGTGAACTCTCCCTTCCTTTCTACAGTGCTGAGCTGGGGGGGGGGCATGGCCCCACCCTGCCTGCAAAGTCCCCAGCTGGGGTGTGCCTGGAGGGGGAAAGGGAAGCAGCCTTCACCAGGATTTCTCCCCCCACCCCCCATGCGTTGCTCAAGGGGCAGGAATGTTGCCAGACCCCAGCCCCTGGCTAGCACTCTGAGGCAAAGGTGGCAGGGGGAGGGGAGTGGAGGGAGGACTGCTTGTGTGGAGTGCATGCATTTGTTGATGATACTGAGCTTTTCAATATCTGTCTCCCTGCTTCTTCATACTGTCTGCAGCAAACTGAGGGCACTCACAGGTCCCATGCATTGCAAACCAGGTCATTTCTCACATCTCTCTCTGTCCCTTCTTGAACATTGACAAAGTGCAGCCTTTGAAGCAAGCCAGCATCTAGCAGGGAGCTTATCAGAACACAAATCTTATCAGATAATCAAGAAAACCAACTTCTCTCTCATTAGTTCAAGCTCTTCTTAAACATCTTTTTCTAAGGCATTTGTAAGGAAGAACGGAGGGACATTACTAGCTGGCCTGCTGATTAATTCCAAAAAGCCCTAAGTGGACACTGTTCTGTCTGCCTTTGTTCCAGTGAAATTGGAGACACGCACACATAGATACCTCTCAGCATGGGGATAGCATGACCATGACCAGATGCCATTTGGGGTCCATGCTGTGGGAGAGGGGGAGGGATCCCCCTGCTCCTGCTTGAGCAATAAGCAGCAAGGACGGGGTGGGGCAGGGGAAAACCAAGCAGATACTGTTGTGCCTGCTGTCTCCACCTCCTTCTAAGTCAGCCGGATCTCTGGTTAGGGAGGAGAGTGGCGGGGCCAGCCCTGCTCTCTGGAGCAGACAGCCCAGCCCAGCCCAGGGCTGAAAAGCATGCTGTGATGCTGGGGGACTCTGATTTAACATAAACCAGGGGTCTGGGACACAAGGTCCATAAACTGGTTTGACCCAAATTAGTTAAGTCTGATACTACATTCAACCAGGTTTATCTTAAATCAGTTTTGGCCATTTTGAAACTGGTTTATATGCACTGAATTTATGTTCTGTTACAGGTTTAAACTGGTTTCTGATCGCTTTAAAGGGTTTGTGTATAATTTCTGTCCCTAGCCTTAAGGAATCACAAATTGTGACTACTTTTGGTTACAGCAACATTTTTGGGCACTAGGATGTCTGTTTGCATGCACTTGTGCCATTGTAAATATTTTTATGGTAGCACTAGGGCAGTAACATAACTACGGGTGGGCAAGAGTGCACCTATTGAGTCTGCACCCCTGCAGTATTGCCATGCCATGCCATGCCAGGGACTTTGAAACAGTTCTCAGCTACTGTTGTTTTAAGATGGTGGGCAGAGCACATGACAGCAATTTGGTTGGGACTGTTTACAAGTTTCCAGCTGGGTAAGGCTGGTGCCCCTGCCCCTGCTCTCAGACCTGTGCCTCCTTCACCCCTGCTTTCTGCAGCCTGATCCCTGCTTCCTCTCAGAACCCATGCCCCATGCCTCCATAATCCTCAGAATCTGTGTGATCCCCGCTACCTTGCTCTCCCACATGTTTTGCCCTGGGCACCAGCTCAGCTTGTTTACACTACTGCACAAGCATGACATCTGTTTTGTGCCCTTAGACAGTCAGTCATACAATAAGACTGGGCCCTGGCTGGGAAGGGGTGGATGCACTAGGCCTGTGCGAAGTGGCAAGTATTCAATTCAGATTCAGCCAATTTGGAGGAACAGTGATTCGATTCAGTGATTTGAGTCACTGTCCCGATTTGACTTGGCCTAATCAGGAGATTTGGCCATAGACTAAACAGGCAGCAGTCCTCGAGGATGCTGGACACAGCTACCTTCAGCTGGTACATCTGTTGTAGTGGATGGAGGGGGGAGGGAAGGTGTGTGGGTGGGGGCAGATCAATGCCCCCACAGTGAAGGAGGGATTGGAGCTGGGACAAGCTGCCCAGCCAGGGCTTGGTTGTGCAGGAGCTGGGGAGGGGGGCTCCCGCCACTGCGTGCCGCCATGTGCTGCTGGTCCAGGAGGTCATGGGAGCAGGTATGTGCCCCCAGATCTGCGCAGGGTGGGCTGGGCTGCTCTCTGGACAGGCAATGAAAGGTACTGGGAGTGGGGGCTCTGCCCTGCCACCACCTGTCCAGCTGGGCCGGCGGGTGGGGGTGTGTGATGCAGGCACAGTTCACTCTGGGTGGAAGGCACTGGGAGTGGGGGCTATGCCCTCCCGCCGCTCACCCATCCGGGGTGGGGAGGTGCGGTACAATGCCACTGCGCTGCCTCAGACAAGTGGCGCGCAGCGGTGGAAGCTGCTTCAGCCTCCCCGCACCTCCTGGACAAGCCACGGCTTTGCCCTGGCTGGGTGAGAAGCAGCAGGGCAGGGCTGGCAGCAGGGGCTATGGGTAATTTTAGGGTGGCTGCAGCCCCCACATAGACCCTGCTCCACTGTGCTGTGCAGGGCAGGCAGAGCCAGTGCTGCACTCTGGGCTGCGGCTGGGGCTAGCTGCTTAGAGCACAGTCTTGGCTCCACCTGCTCTGTGGAGTGCAGCCTGGTGGTGGGCAGCTGGGCTAGCCTCCCAGAGTGCAGCCCAGCCCACGCAAATCTGGGGGCACATGCCCGCTCCCATGCCCTCCTGATCTGGCAGCGCACAGCAGCACACAGTGGCAGGAGCCCCCCTCCCTGAGTTCTGTGCTGCCATGGCTGGGCAGCTTGTCCCAGTCCTAGCCCCAATCCCTCCCTCGCTGTGGGGGCATTGATCTGCCCCCAGCATGCCCCTTCCTTCCCCGCTCTGCCTACTACAACAGACTTACCAGCTAGAGGCAGCTGTGTCCAGCGTCCTTGAGGACTGCTGCCTGTTTAGTCTATGGCTGAATCTCTGAATCAGCGCCCAATCTTTTCTGAATTGATTTGGAGTCTTCCAACTCAATTTAGACTTTTTAATGGGTCTCCCGATTTGATTCAGATTTGGAGATTGAGCCGCCAAATTGGGCTGAATCTCCTCCAAATTGAATTGGCTACTGAAGCTTCACACAGCCCTAGGATGCACCTCCCTTGCAACCCTGACACAGACCTCTGTGCTCTGCATCTCCTATTGATTAATTCTAGGCACTTCTCTCTTTTAGGTGACTAACTATACCCACATACTGCACTAGGAGCATAAGTGTCTGACTCTGCATTTGGGATTCTATTCTTGGGTCCAGATGCCCACAGCTAGCTATTGCAGCACTGAATTTGTAGGTATCTAAGTTCTTTATTAGATCTGGCTGTATGTGTAAAAGTTAGCCAGATTAGTGTTTCCCATTGTTTACCTGCATGTGCAACTTTCTGTGTTTCTACTACTGACTTGGGAAGAACATGTATCAATGGCCGCAATTAAGTAAAGAATTGAAGTCCATGCTTAACATTCATTACATGTTCAAGTGCCCTTGATTCCTGTGTGGCTACTTTCATGAATAATCACAATCAGGCCCCTTACTAGGTCATCCTGCTTGCAAGATTGCTCCCCTTTCCCAAAAATTATTGTGGGAATTTCACTGAGGCATAAAGACACTTGTCATGGTATTACAATGGGTGATATTGCAGCAGAACACTAATGATTTTTGTCCAGAAAAACAATCTTCAGGAGATAGTTTTCTACATTCAATCTAAGGTGATACTTCCAGAAGGAGTAGAAGAGGCAGAAGGAAAAAAAAATGGGAATAAAATCCATAATGGGTGTTCAAAGGGCACTATTTCAATTTGCATTGCAAAGTGGTGTTTCTGAAAGCTCTATTTTAAAAAATGTATGTTGATTTCTTGTAGAATGTGAGAAAACAGCAAATTCCTATCTGTGGATGTTTGTACTCATGGGAAATCTATTACGTGGAATTGGGGAAGCACCAGTTATACCACTGGGGATTTCATATATTGATGATTTTGCCAAAGAAGAAAACTCAGCATTTTACATAGGTAATCACTCAAATTCTTTTCATTTGCACTTCTGTACCAAAATTTAAGCATAACACATATTCCACCAGCTGTAATCTGTATTCTTCTTGACACTATGAAGATAAGCAAGGAATGCTAAAGGTGTTCCATGCATTCCTTATTCCCAATGGCTCTTTCAGCATGGATAAGTGTGCTGCTTGTAAGGACAGAAACTGTAAGTGGTCCAAGTGGGCCATGAAAAGCTACAGGTGGCTTTAGAACTACAAGATGAGTATCCCACTCTACAAAATGAATGGTGAGAAATCATAGGTGTATACAACAGAAACAGGAAGCGCACACACCCTTTTTTTTTCCCCTATCCCACTCTTTTCCTTCAAGATAGTGAAGGAATTATTATAAATTGTAACAAAAAGCAGTCAGAGGCACAAACACATTGTTTGCTTTTTGTAGGCATCATGGAATAGATACATTTGCCTGTTAGATAAATGTTATGTTTTATTACAGTCTTTCTTCTATGCAGTAACAGATTGGCCTGGTGCTGACACCCTCATTTTTTATGAGCAGTACCTTATTCCATAAAAGTCACATTACCATCAATGGGTACTCTTGAGGAACAAGACACTGTTCAATGCAACTCAGGGTATATGGATCAGTGTGACAGGGTGTCATTTTGGCTTTTTTTTTTTTTTTTTTTTTAATGCATAGGTCAGTGTGCGCGCCCCCATCAAGTCTTGCTGAATTTTCCTTCTCTGGGGATTAGCTCCACCCCAGTCCCCTCCTTTTACTTTCCTGCCATGACTTGATGTTACTTGGTTCTAAAAAAAAAGAGGGAGGCTGACCTACAGGTTCCCAGACAGGCTCCAGGCTTACCACCTGTAGGATAATGAGCTGTTGCCTTAACAGCAAAATGCACGCTCCTACCTCCCCTTGACGTGCCTCACAGATGTTTTATAAATTTCTCTTTATGTTGGGGTCTCAGCTGCTGTGGGCTTATCCCCTCTCTCTCTAGCTAGGCCTGTCAGTCAAAACCCACTAAGCAGGGCTTGACTCCGAGGCTCTAGCTGTCTAACTCGCTCGGGCTCAAGGCCCTCCATTCCATGCTGTCCACAACTCCAGGTCTACTGGTCCTTCTGCACTGTGCCCCTGTGGTGCCAGGCTGTTGGGGCCTCAGCCCCCTTTGGCTTTGCCCCTTTCACCTAAGTCTACCCACTAGGACCTGGCTTCAAGGCTCCTTTCTTCCCTTCAAGTGCCTTTGGGCTCGTGACCCTAGTGTAGCAGGGCTTCTTGAGCCCTCTACCATGACGCCCCTTGGCACTAATGAGGCCTCCTCTTCCCCTACAGCCTTAGCCACAAACCACCAGCGTTTCAACATTAAACATAAACCATAGGCCCCTATGCCCATATAATGAAAAAAAAAAAGAGAGAGACAAAGTGCCCGCTTACATGTGATTGTGCTTCGGTCTCACAGCATGGCATATTCTTCCCAAAGAGGCTGCTGCAGCCGCTCCATAATCATCAGAAGTCTCTCTTTCTGCTGCCTCCCTGTTACAAGACCGCTCTGCTTCCTGGTGACAGGGATAGGGTTCCCTGTTACAATCAGGTTTATTATTTTCCAGTTGTTTTACCATACTTACTCAAATGCAAGACAAGGTTTTTATCCCCATTCAACATGGGGAGAAAAAAGCCCCTTACCTTGGATTTGTGTACAAGGTGGAAGGGCAGGAGACCAGGGGGAGCAGCTGCTCTGGCTCTGATTCCAGCCTCACACCTGGGTTAGGGCCTGAGTCAAAGCTGTAGCAGCTGCCTGTCCCCCCACATCGCCTGCCCCCAACAGCTTCTGCCCCCTCCCCCCCAGGTGCTTACTGTCAGGCATGGCTCCAGTTCCATTCCCTCCCAGGCATGGAGCACATGGAAGCTCCAGCCATGCCACAGCAGTGGCAGTAGCTCTGGCCCTGGGACACTGCTGTGTAAATGGGAAGGGACTGGAGCTTCCATGTGAACCATTCCCCAAAGAAAGTGGAGCCAGAGCCATGTCTGACTGTAAGCAGCTGGGGGGTAGGGGGGAAAAGGAGAGGGGGCAGAGGCAGGGGGGCAATGGCTGCAGGGGGTAGAGAGTCCAAAGGCAGGTGGTAGGCAGAGGCTGCAAGGGGGGAGACATGGCAGGGGGGCAGTCACCACAGGGGGACTAGCTGCAGGGAGGACAAGTGGGGGGCAGGGGGAAAGGAGGATGCTTGCCTCCCCACCACATGCCCTCTTGATGCTGCTTTCTCTGAAAGCTGTCTCATATTTGAGTAAATATGGTACATACAATGAGGTAGAGGCATTGACATGTGAATGCTCTGTTTTATTTAGTGAGTTGCATTTACTTACTCGATTGGACTGAACATTTGATGGTCTGGTTGTTGTAGTTTACTGTTAACTTTACAGCAACACAGAGGACCAAGCCTGCAATGGAATCTCAGTAAACAACATGCTTACGAACAGCCAAATTGAATTATAGTTGGGTGCATCTATGTGTTCAATTAGTGCAGCACATTAAACTCTGGCACAGTTTACAGTGGAGTTAATGATTTCCAGGCACAGCATCTACATGTGTGCCTAGGACCGCAGCAGTTTGAACCACTGAAGGGCAGACCTAGGCTGGCAGCAGGTTTGGTATGTCAGCCCTGGGCTCTGGGTCACAGCGTCAAGTGTTGGAGGGGCTGGCTGGGGCATGAGAATGCCCAAAGAGTGGAGCTGTGTGGCTAAGTGGCAGGCAGGGGTCTGGCCCCCTGGTGACTGAGCTGACCAGGTGCAATTTACACCTGAGTCAGCATTTACACACGTATTTAGGTGCAGCTATTTTCATTGCTGTAAGATAAGACTGCCCCTGACAGTACTATCTTACAATGGCAAAAATTAATTTGCTGTAGTCTAATAGTGTTGCACGAGGAGACTGTGATGCTTTACACTACAGCAAATTAGTCTACTGTGCAGTTAAGCACACGTATAGATGTAATCACTGAGGTTTTCCACACTTTAGTAGTGTTGCTAGCCATTAAGTTTATCACTCTACAAGAAGAATAATTGGCAATGAAAATGATTTAATTAGTGCACTCCACTTCCATGTGTTTCCTTCAGAGAGGATGAGTTCTGCATGAATGAAAATTTAGCAGCAAGCATGACACTTAAAGGTCTAATCATGTTTCTGTTCAGTCTGATGGTTTCAGTACGGACAGGACTGAGGCCAAGATATGCCATAATTTTTAAAACTGATTACATGTGGTAACAACTCAACAGGATATAAGCCAGATGAAATAATGTTGATTTACATCAGCTGAGAAACTGCTACTTTACCTGTATGTTTTCACTCTTTATTGTTAATGGTCAGAGCTATTCAATAATGACAAAGACTGTGATTTAAACATTAGGGCTGTCAAAGCTTTGATCACTGATTCGATTTGGCAGAGATTCGTCCCAATTCGGTGGCTGAATCTGAATTGAATCAGGAGACCCTTTAATCTTTCCGAATCAAATCGGAACCCTCTGAATTGATTCAGAGAGATTCGGAAAGTGTTTGGAGGACTGTAAAAAAGTCACCAGAGGCTCTTGTGGTGTAGTCTGTTTGCATTGGTGGGTTGCTGGGAGGAGGGAGTGGAGAGCAAGGGTGCAGCCACCTCTGAAGCACAGGTGGCTGCTCCTGCACCTTCCCTTTGCCAAATATTGGATCCACCCCTGTGAGAGCATACTGTTTCATGATGGAAACTTGTGATCATTAGCTGAACAATCACTGTATTAAAATGCATAAAACAGTACACTTGTCAATTTAGACAGACACCTTGAAACAATATCTCCACATTTTCTGATGTAAAGCAAAGGGATGATAATGCCAAGTGTGCCTGGTCAGATAGGCTCTTATATTCATTTGGTCAGGGATTCTTTGTCCCATTGAAAACAATAAAATAAAGAAATTACTTCAAGGTATAAGTTTCAGTGCAGCTGAACATGAACGGCGTGTGCCCCCAGCAGCTGGGGGGGCACAGTGGCGGTGGGAGCATTGCAGCAGTGGTGGGAGTGGCAGGAGCATGGTGGCAGTAAGCAGGGGAGCTCGCGTAGCCACTGCTGCTGCTGTCAGCAGTGGGGAGGGGGGTGGTGGCGAGTGCCAACCAAGGGTTGCTGACTACCTGCAGACGCTGCCGGCAGCATTGGTGGCGGCCTGTGTGAACCGCGGACCACCCACAGATGCCACTGGTGATGTCAGCAGCACCTTTTTACAGGGGGTGCACCGCCACACTCGGGGGTGCACGTGCACCCGTGTGCACCCCCTACGTATTGCCCCTGCAGCTGAATGATCTGGGCAGGTAGTCTCACAATGGGTTTTTGAAACCCAAATCACTCAGAAACTTTAGAGTGTTATCCCATTTGATTCCTTGCAACTAAAGATCAGCGTAAAGTGAAGGGGAAACCTCTGTAGGAAGGAGTAGGACTGTAGGGATCAGTCTCTGTAGGAATTGCCTTTGAAATATTTTTAACTAATCAGTAAAACCAAATTGCATCATATTTCACTTAAAAATATTTCAGCAAGATGCTGTGTGGGCCTTTCAGGCTTGTACTAAACCTTGCTGCTCAGCCATCTGCTGCTTCTTGCATCTCATCCTCCTTTGTCCCTCTTCCACCCATAGACTAACGTTAGGGTTACTGTATTTCCAATTTCAAAAAAGAGGACACCTGTGGGAGGAAGGGGGTATATGATTGTGGGGGGTGGGTGGCAGTGATATGCCTGTGCCCTGCCCCTGCCCCTCACTCCCAAGCCATAGTACCCCACCCCCCAGACCATGCTGGTGCTCTTCACTCCCAACCCTCAGCTCCCTGCTGATACCCCGACCCACAACCACATGCCCTTCCCCCCACTAGCCCTGCTGATGCATCTCATTCCTGACCTGCAGCTCTCTGCCCCCTCCAGCCTTGCAGCCTATGCAGCTCCCTGCTGCCCCCAAAGAACCTCCCCAGCCTGCTGCAGCCCCAGCGCTGGCAGGCGTGCACACGCGCGCGCACACACACACACATATACATACTCAGTTCTTTGCTAGGGCAAGCCAGGAAGTGCCCAGAAAGCAGAGGCAGAGCAAAATCCCAGATATTTGCTGATATTTTAAAAAACTGCCCGGACAGAGATGGGAGGACCCAAAAAGAGGACATGTCTGGGAAAACCTGGATGCATGGTAACCCTAACTAATATTATTTTTATAGCCCTACAAGTGCTGCAGCACTTTGAAGAACTAAAAAATGTAGCAGAGTCCCTCAGTTGGAGCATTAAGAAGTCACTATGAAAGCATACAGCATCAATTCATCAGCCAGGAGCCATAGGTAGGGGCAGATCTAGGAGGGTGGGGTGGTATGGACACATCCCTCTTTGACTGTGCACCATATTTGCAGTGAGCTCTTGGAGCTCATCAACATATCAGGGAGAGAAAGAGCATCCAGGATCACAACAAGCAACCACAACCTTTTCAGCACTCTAGCAAATGCTCACTGAGCTCTCTTCAGCACCACATTGCGGAAAGGGCTATCACTACACCCTTGTCACTCCGATCATAGGCATGGTATGGGACTGTTCAGTTCTGTGGCTTTGCCTTCCCATTATCTCTCCTGAGTTGGTTACAGGGAGTGTATGTCAGGTCCCAGGGCTGCCCCAATCACTGACAGCTTGCCTATCCACTTTCTTCTCTCAGAGGGGTGGGGAATCAGGCAGTAAATTGGTGGCAGCATCACCTCCAACTCTCTATCCTTCTTCCTTTGGAGGGTGGAGTGAGGAGAGCATTGGGGGACTGAAAGACACCCTGTGGTGAGCAGTGCATTGCATAAATATTGCATATAGTGTTATAAAATGTAGCCCTACAGAGAAGTTCCTGTTTCATTCAGGTACTTTTTTGTGGTGCTTCTGCTATTTTTGTATCAATACAGGTGCAAACACATCTGTCTGCTTGAACTGTATGGCACTTTGAAGGCATTTGGAGCACTACAAATGTAACATTTGTCCATGGCCTCTGTTGGCTGTTTAGCTTGTGAGCAGACCTGGGGTGAAATTTGACTTCAGTGAAGTCAATAGCACAATTCCTACTGACTTCAGAGTCATAACTTAATCCCTTGCCTTCTTGTTTCTCTACTAGCTGACTTTTGCAACAGCTGCGTTAGCTGCTGGTTTTTCTTTTTCTCATATTCCCTTGCATTTATGATGACCGACACTCAAATACAGGTATCTTAATTCTGCCTATTATAGGTAGTCACTGAGATGTATTCTCCTTTACCTAAATCTGTATCTCTTTACTTATATAACACCTATATCCATAGTGTGCTCTGAACTGTGAAAGGACATAAGCACAAACAAGGTACTCTTATTTAAATTTATGGCATAAATATATAGTATAGGGAAAGTTATGTATCCAATGGTTACATTAACTTCATGCTACCTCTTGTAAATATAATCATGATCGCTGCAGTGTGTAGAAAACTATACACTTATTAGTTATATTGTTAGCTGAACAATACAACTGTGTACAGCTGAAAGAAGCAAACATGTTTTATTTTAAAATCACTGTCACACACACTTCTCTTTTCCTGTATTATATCATAGCCCCTGATTCTGCCAGGTATAATATGTGTATGTTCATATGAAGCCATATCAACTTCAGTGGGGCTCCACATGAGCAGAAAAGTCGGCTATTACATTGCAGAAAGCAGGATCTGGCTTTAAATTTTTAAACAGAATTTCTAAAACTTATACTTCTGATATGGATATGAGCATGTTATTGGCACATGTGTTATTTGCAGAGTAATTGTTATGCTTTTCCACATGCAGTGTAAAAGTTACTACATTGTCATATTTTTCTCCTGTTACAGGCATGGTAAGAACAACTGGAATGGTTGGACCTACCCTTGGCTATCTGCTTGGAGCTTTCTGTGCCAGCCTGTGGGTTGACATTGGAAGTGTGGATCTGGGTAAGAAACAGGAATGAGTCACTAATTGATACCACTGGAATATAAGTGACTCAGCTATTCAATATATATTCAGAAACTGTTTTCACATAGCCATTCCAAAACGGGTGCTTTTCAAAAGCTGTTGCTGTTTCAGTAACAAATATTATTATAGGTGGGAGCAGGGAGGGGTGCATTCCCCCTTCTCTAGGAGGCTGAGGGGAGGGTGGGCCTGAGTCAATCCCAGCTGAGCTCACTGGTCTGCAATGGGGGGAGCAAAAAGCCCCCACCAGAAGGGTTTTCCTCCCTTTCCTGTAGAGAGTGGGGCTAGGGTTGCTGGGGGTCCCTTCCTCTGCCCCGCCCCTACCTCCCGCTGGGCTGACAGGCTCAGGCACAAAGTAGGCTAGGAAGCAGAGGCTTTAGTGCCTCAGCTCTGTGACAGTTTGAGGGGGGAGCAGCCCTGTTCCATGGGAGCAGACAGCACAGCCCAGGGCTGCAAAGCATTCTGGCATGCAGGGGGATGATGAGTTAACTTAAGAGGGGATCTGGAACAAAAGTCCCTTAAACTAGTTTAACCTAAATCAGTTAGGTCTGATACTACATCCAATCAGGTTTATGTTAAACTGGTTTCAGCCATTTTGAAAGCAGTTCATGTGAACTGAACTTCTGTTCTGTTACAGGTTTAAACCAGTTTCCAGTCACTTAAACCAGTTTATGTGTAACTTTTGTCCCTAGCCTTAAGAGAGATTGTTTTGTTTTTTTCCCCTTTTTTCCTTTTTGCTGTGCCCCCATAGGAAAATGTTGCAATGGCAGACAACAGAAAGGAAAGGATGTAAAAAATGCAGAGGGGTATATTGGTCCTTGAACAGAAAGACAGGTATTTCCAATTCTTGGATGCACAGTGTGATCCTCCAGTGACTTAAGTCTCCCATGGAATATGGTTCTATTCATTGTAAATGTTTAAATGTTGGCTATAAAATAAATTTTAATTGCTTTGTTTACTAAAGTATATAATATGTTTCAGTGAATTAAGAAAATGAAACCCATTGTGTGATCTTTCTCTCCTTCTACCTCTCTCTCTCTTTTTTTAAAAGATAACATAACCATAAATCCTAAGGATACTCGTTGGGTTGGTGCCTGGTGGATTGGATTCTTAATATGTGGAATAGTCAACTTTCTATCTTCATTGCCTTTCTGGTTCTTTTCTCATTCCTTACCAAAAGAAGAAGAAAAAAGAAATACAAAAGAGCTGAATATATCATCTGTAACTGCTCAAGTCGATCACTCTGCAGTAGAGCCCCAAAGTCAACCAAAGTTAAAGTTCTCAAAGGCAGTAAAAGGTGACAGTATATTTCTTGTGGTATACATTCAAGTATTGATTCTGTTTCTACAGCCCCTGCAATTTCCACTGGGCTGCAGTGGAAACAATAAATAATAGTCTTCCTATGAAGGACAGTGATATCCACTAGAGAGATTATACTTCATGTTCCCTTTCCTGGTGATCCACAAAGAAGTTATGACTTCTAATACCTGGTTGCATATGTATGAGATGTTGACTGTTCAGTCACTATTGTGCGGTCATTTAGGACTTGTATAAACAAGTATTAAATGACTGCTCTGTAACCTGTTATTGCACAGTAGTGCCAACGAATGGCTTTTTTGTGCTGCTGATTGCACAGTAGCCCGAGATTACTGCCCAGTAGCATGGTTTCTGCCATGCAATGCTACTGCGCAGTAGTCTTGGATTACTGTGCAATCAGCATCTCATATAAATGTGGCCCCTGAGGATTATTAGCTCAGGGTGTTACTTTTAGCTCTGAAAGTGTCCATCCTAGTTCTCAGTTGATAGCACCTTATTATGTCAAGTTGCATTGACTTTGGTGGAGTTACTGATGATTTAAACAAAGTCAGAATCAGTCCCATGACATGCTTCCTCAAAAATGTTTTTCCTTTGCTCAAACTCTACCTTTTTTAAATCTGGTCACCTGTAAGAGGGTGGAGACACTAAAGGTCTTAGATTCACAGGTTTTACAGTCCCTAATGCATTACCTTACTTGTGCCCATACCTTGTTTCCATTTGCAATGGGGATGATGGACTTGTTCACCATGCAAGCACCTGCAGATTAAACAACATAGTTAAAAAGCTGTTGAGTTCATCATGGCCACCTTGTCTTCAAGGCAGCCAACAGGAATAGAACAAATGGATATGTTTTATTGACAGACCCTTTATAAAATTAGCTAAAAAGGAAAATTCTTCTGCTACAATAGTAATAAAGTCTGTATTGTTAGAGCCACAATAAGTTAACTCTTCCTTGCACAAGCCTGGCATTCCAACCAGCTGGAAATAGTAGAACTCGCACAATCTAGGCAGGGAATTCTGCCAGTTATAGTTAAGAATACAATTTTTTTTAACTCCTGGGATTCACAGGCATTTGAAATAAGGAATTAGTTATCATCTGTAACTGATTTGTGTTTGAATAGTTGTTGTGTTGATACCAACTGTAGCAATTCACAGCTGACTAGACAGGAACATCATTTTGCCAGGCGTACTATCTGCATTCAGCCTGAAGAATGTATAAGCCAAAATCTTTGGCTCATGAAAGCTAGCCTCTACCACATGAGGACAAAGAAACTCTCCATTAGCTGAGGGAGTATTAGTGTTTGTATTCTCTCTATTCAGCTCCTATATATAAAAGTAATTAAAAAAACTTTTCCAAATTAGCTTTTTCCAATGGAAATTTATTCATTTATTGGTGGGAAATTTTCTATTTTATTTTAAATTGGGGGGGTGGATAATAATTTAAAAAACTGTTTTCAGTAAAGTTGAAATGTTTATTTCCAACCCTTTAATCTCAGGTTTTATGTTATGTTTTGTTGTCATGTATAATAGTCAAAATGATAAATAACAAGGATTTTCAATAGCAGGATTTTCCTGTTTTAATAATGAAACCCTTCAGAATTTTCCACTTATGATAAACTTCACAATTTAATTTTCATTCTGAAGAAAATAAATTTTGGAATGTTTTAATTTCCCCAGAAGTAGAAATTTTATTTCCTGAGCACCTCTAATTACAGTGATATAGTTTCACACAGATTTGAGCAGATTTAACAATTTACCCCTGTCTGAAGGCAAAAATTCGCAGATATGTGCATGCGCGTGCACACACACACACAGAGTATGTCACAGTTAAAGTGCTTGGATTTGCATTCTAGCCTTGCCTGCTTTTCAGCTAGCAGTTAAACTGTAAATCTGATTTAGGCCTTTTATAGAATTCACATAATCAAACTTTTAAAAGGAGGGCAGAAAGTTTGGAGTTATAAAGGTTTCATAGCTCTGATTCACCGGATAGTACCTTCAATACATGTCTGGGGTAAGCATGTTTCAGACTGGTGATACTTAATTCCTTTGCTGATTAGGTGGTTAGTAGCCATTTACAGGTGGTGATTTGGTGACTTCAAGGTCCGTTTACAATAGATTCACAGATTGGAATAAGTAGAAATGTGAGAGGAACATGGCAACACTTGTAAAAATCTAATAAAGAAAGGCAAAATATTACAGCATGTGCCCATTCTCCATACTATCTGTATTCAGTTTCTTACTTCTTCAAAATGGTTCTCGTCTCTTGAGGATGATATTGTAAATATTAGGGCTGTGCAAAATTTCACCAGGTGTTTTGTTTTGAAGCTGTTTTGATGTGGTTTGAGCTCGAAACAGCAGAATCTAAATGAAACAAAAGGCTTTGAAACAGCTTCAAAATGAAACAAGGGCACCCAAACCATTTCGAAAATTTTGAAATGTTTTGCGTTTTGAAGCCAGGCTTACTTGGGTTCAGTGCCAGTCCCAGGTGGCAGAGGCAGCCTCCTCTCAGCCGACATGCAGATCTGGGGGCTTGCACCCCTGGGAAGGCTGCCAGGCTGTGCTGGACTCCTCCTGGGGGTGCAAGCCCCTGGATCTGTGTACCAGATGACAGGAGTCTGCCGCTGCCACCTGGGATTGGCGGTAGCATCAATCTTCCTGCCAGCGCTGGTCCCAGGCAGCAGTGGCAACCTCCTGAAATCTGGCATGCAGATCAGGGGGCCCAGACCCCCCAGGAGGAGTCTGGCATGACCCTGCAGCCCTCCCAGGGGTGCAGGCCCCCAGATCTGTGCACCAGATGAGAGGAGGCTGACGCTGCCAGCAAGTGTCAGGAGTTTTGCTTTGAACAAGTTTGAGGTGCAGTTTCCCAGAAACCTCTGCACCTATCTCCTTGAAACTTGGTGGTGAAATGGAAGTCGAAATGAAATGGTGCTGGTTTGCACAGCCCTAGTAAATATATTTGAGATCTGTCTTTCTTATGTTTTGTGGGTGAGGGGAACTTGGGAAGGGGGGAGGGGGGGCAGAACACTTGGTATTTTTATCCCAAGGTGAAAAAAACCAATAAAACAAAGGTCAACTTTTCTGTTGGCTGAATTCAACTGAAGTCAATAAAATTATGCTCCACTAATTTAACGGAAATCACAAACATTAAGGAGGAAATTTTCAAGAGCACAAAAGTATCATTAAGTATACAGGTTGAAACTGTTCGGGTCCCAGTACTTTCAATTGTGTTTTTAAATCATTCAGATATTTTTTAAATGTCCACATGATAGCAATAACCTACATCAAGGTGCATGCTCCCTAAATAGTAATGAGGCTAACTGAGGTTAGATATACAAATAAAGAAATGGAAAAAGTAGAATAAAACATTTCCTTTCCAATTTCTTTCAGTTATAATATTCTTAATGCTCTTATCCTTTTATCAATGGGATATAGTATTGGCACATTGATATATAATTTTTAAACACTTACCCTAAATCAAGCATGGAAAACTAAAAGTGGGAAGTTCTTTATTAAAGATGCCTTCTGATAGTCTTCAGTGTAAAGGTGAGAAAAAAGTGACCTTGCAATATGATCATTAGTTTAATCTGGTTCATATATTCGATATAGACACAGTGGGCACATCTATATGAGACACTTACTGTGCAGTAGCCTAATACCACTTTGAGTTAGTGTGCCATTCAAAAACCATGCTAATATGTTACTGCTCAGTGTTATTAGGCTACTGCACAGTAAGCATCAACATCCCCCCCACCGGCAATACTACACAGTAGTGCAAGTTACTGCACATTGAATTAGTACTTGGTTAACCAAGTACTAAATTTAATGCGCAGTAACTAGGGCACGTTAATGAACATGTAGACATACCCAGTTTTCCTTATGTGCACATCATGTTTAGCAAGAGATATGACATAAACCTTTTTTCCCCTCCAGATTTCCTACCAACTTTGAAGAAACTGCTGCGAAACCCAACCTTCCTGGTGTTCTTGCTCCTCACTATTTTTCAGTACAATTCTCTAGTTGCTTTGGGAACTTATGAGCCAAAGTTTATGGAACAGCAATTCAATGTATCCTTGTCAAATGCCATCTTTCTAATTGGTATGTTTTGCTTCTTTTCAGTCTAAAAGTAAAAATGAAAACATTTTTTGTTACTTTCCCTTCTGGTTCTGAATTTAAAGAAGGTTTTTTATAAAGGATTTCTTAATTTGTTTTAACGTTAAGTAGAGAATAATTATTTGCCCACAATACTATCAAAACTTCTCTAGAGTCCTTCACTTAGTAAATTAGCTGATAATTGGTATGGGGGGAAATTTTCAGCTAATTTTTTCAATGAAAAATGCAGTTTGGGTTTGATCAAATAATTTTGGTAAATTCTATAAATCTTACTGTTACAATAAGAAATTAAAAATAAAAAGAAAGTTTTTCACGGAGACATTTTCTTAATCGAATGCTTCAATTTTTCAATTTGACATGCCATTTTTATTTTAAAATTTACTTGAATTTTGAGTGATTACATTTGATCCAGAAATTTAAAGAATTTTTTCTTAACTGTTAATGTTCTAAAAACTTAGTTTCTTGGGTGTGTCTGCATGTGCAATTAATGCTTATTGCACCAGAGTTTATTGCTTCTGTGCATGCATCTGAACGTGTGCCCAGGACCCCAGAACATTGAGCCGGGTTGGAGCAGTCCCAGATGGCAGGAGGTCTGGGTGGGGTCAGCCTACCAGACCAGGGTTGCTCCAGCCCAGCTCAGCATGCTGCAGAGGGGCCAGCTGGGGCATGAGAGTGCTCCAGTGAGGGACTAGCCAGCAGGTAGCCCCTGCACTGAAGCACCCTTGTGCCTTAGGCAGCCATGTCAGCATCTACACATGTAGTGTTGCAGAGTAAAAAACACTGCAGCAGGGTAGTGCTTGTATTTATATGTGCTAGCCTTGTAGTAGGGGGAGTAGTAGATATGCAGGAGGGTAGGGCTAGGATTCAGAGTGACTTAGACAAATTGGAGGATTGGGTCAAAAGAAATGTCATGAGATTCAGAAAGGATAAGTGCAAAGTCCTGCACTTAGGATGGAAGAATCCTATGCACTACTACAGCCTGGGGACTAGCTGCCTAAGTCGCAGCTCTGCAGAAAAGGACTTGGGGGTTACAGTGGACAATAAGCTGGATACAAGTCTGCAGTGTGCCCTTGTTGCTAAGAAGACTAAGAACATACTGGGCTGCAATAGTAGGATCATTGCCAGGAGATCAAGGGAAGTAATTATTCCCCACTATTTTGCACTGGTGAGGTCACATCTGGAGTACCACGTCCACTACAGAAAGGATATGGACAAGTTGGAGAGAATCCAGTGGTGGGCAATGAAAATGGTGAGGGGGCTAGGGCACATGACTCCTGAGGAGAGGCTGAGGAAACTGGGTTTATTTGGTATAAAGAAGAGAAGACCGAGGGGGATTTAATAGCAGCTTTTAACTACCTGAAGGCTGGTTTCAAAGAGGTCAGGCTCACTGTTTCTGAATATGGGTTTTCCCTGGGCTCTACAAATGTTGGAAGCAGGTGCAGACCTATCAGTAGGAATAGCTCCCTCCCTCTGCCCCTCCTCACCTCAAATGCTATCAGAAAACTGGAAAAAACTGGAAGATCGTGGGCTCAACTGCTTGACGGTTCAGTGGGTGGGAAACTGGCTACAGTGTAGGACCCAGAGAGTTCTCATGAACGGATCCCTGTTGTCCTGGAGTGAAGTGGCCAGTGGTGTCCCTCAGGGGTCCATGCTTGGACTGGTGCTTTTCAACATCTTTATCAATGGTTTGGATAGGAGAGTGAAAAGCTCACTGGCCAAGTTCGCGGGCGACACCAAGTTATGGGGTAGTGTGGCCATGCCAGAAGATAGGCTGCTGATACAGGCAGACCTGGACAGGCTAGAGAGTTGGGCAGAATGGAACCAGATTAAGTTTAACACTTCCAAATGTAAGATGCTCCATTTGTGGGCAAATAACCCTCAACATGAGTGACTGGTGCCTCCTGAATCTGGAGGGGCACCTGCAGAAGCCACCAGCAGCAGCAGCCCTGTCAGGGGGGGCACCAGCCCTGCTGACAGTATCAGTGTCGGCCATCGGGGGGGACACCAGCCCTGTCAGGGGGGCACGTGCACCCCCGTGCACTCCCTACCAGTTGCCTATGACCCTCAACATACATACAGGCTTGGAGGTGACAGCCTGACCTGCACCATGGCTGAAAGGGACCTAGGGGTAATGATTGACCACCGCATGAACATGAGCCGTCAGTGCAAGGTGGTGGTCAGCAGGACAAACAACATGCTGCCATGCATCAACCGATGCATCTCATGTAAAATTAATGAAGTGATACTCCTGCTGTACCCAGCACTGGTGAGACTGCAGTTGGAGTACTGTGTCCAGTTCAGAGTGCCACACTTCAATAAGGATGTGGAAAAACTTGAGAAGGTCCAGAGAAGAGCCACCTGTATGTTCAGGGACTTGCAAGGCAAGCCATATGAGGAAAGTCTGAGGGACCTGGGCCTCTTTAGCCTAAAGAAGAGAAGGTTGAGATGGGACTTGTTAGTGGTTTACCGCTATATCAGAAGAGTGCATCAGGAGCTCTGGGCACCCTTGGGGAAGACCAGGACCAATGGATACAAGCTCCTGGAAGGCTGCTTCAGGCTTTCTACCAGGAAAAACTCCTTCACAGTCAGGGTGTCCAGACTGTGGAATAAACTCCTTCCAGAGGTGGTGCAGTCACCTACCCTGGAGGTTTTCAAGAGGAGACTGGACAGTCACCTCGCTGGTGTCCCTTGACCCCAGTTGCCTTTCTCCTAGAGCAGGGGGGCTGGACCTGATGATCTGTAAGTTCCCTTCCACCCCCTTACAATCTATGAGTCTATGAATCTATGAGGATTCATATGGACTGTTCTCAATCATGGCAGATGACAGAACAAGGAACAATGATCTTAAGTTGCAGCAAGGGAAGTTTAGGATGGATATTGGGAAAAACTCTCTCTCTAGGAGGGTGGTGAAGCACTGACATGGGTTACCCAGAGAGGTGGTGGAATCTCCATCCTTGGAGGTTTTTAAGGCCCAGCTTGACAAAGTCCTGGATGGAGTGTTCTAGTGGGGGACAATCCTGCTTTAAGAAGGGGATGGACTAGATGACCTCCTGAGGTCCCTTCCAACCCTAATTTTCTATGATTCTATGACTACCCTGCTGTGGAGTTTATTAGTTTACTGCAGCATAATAGCCCTGTACGTGTAGATGCTGATCCATTTACTGTGGATCTAATTAGTCAACTCCATAGTAAACGTTTCATGTAGATGTGCCCCATGTCAGTTGAATGTCCTTCTAAAGTCAGATGTTTATCTGAATTGCCCAAGCTTCCAACATTGACCCATGTTAGATGGAATATAGATATAAAACAACAAGGAATTTTATGAAAACAGTATTTTAAAGGAATGTGAGGCACTATGATAAAATGAAAAGCTAAGCACAACTGAAATACATGGAACAAAAATTTACTGAACTTGAAAAGCTCAACCTGTAGAGCAGATCAGTGTCTACTTTTGTTAAGAAGAAATGGCAGACTAGCATTGGATGTTTATTGTGGAAATGTTGCTGTTCAAGTAAGTGGCAGCGATAAGAAGTAAACAACTGTTCCCTTCTGTTTGCAGGTGTGATACTTTTCCCCACTGCAATTCTGGGGATGTTTCTGGGAGGCTTTATCACTAAGAAGTTCAAGTTGCTTGTAACAGGAATGGCAAAGTTTTCATGCATCACTTTTATTATATCATATCTTTTAAGCCTCCTGTACTTTATGAGTGATTGTGAGGTACTCCAGGTGGCTGGCTTAACAGTTTCCTACTCTGGGTTTGTATGCTTTTTGAGTCAGTTCTGTCAGATATTGGTCATTTGTCTTCATAGCTCAAAAACACTCTCATGATGGTTACATTTCCAGATAGCCCCAGCCTAGAACACTGGGGTTCAAGCTTGTTCAAAATAGGAAGCATTTCAAATTAGAATTTGGATCTAAATTCTGTGACATGAGTCCTTCTTTATATGCTGCAAAATTTACTGGTAACATTTTTTGTCTGCAAATACACTGTAGATGTTTTGTAAATTGAAAAAAAATGGGCCGTATCTGGCTGGTGGACCTAATCTGGCTGGATCTGGCTAGTTGTCCCAATCTGGCACTGGGTGTGGCATGGCAGGGTCCCATCTGGCAGCATGGAGTGGGGCAGAGGGCAGCCCAGCCCCAATCTGACCTCATGGGGGAAGGAGACTTGATTCAGCCCCACAGGGAGGAGTGGAGGGGGGGAGTTCATGTGACTGCAACACAGCCCCCTGGCAGAGGGGGCATGGCCCAGCACCACTCTGCCTGTGGGGGAAGGATTATGGCTTGGCCCTGACTCAGCCACAGCCCTGCCCCAATCCAGCTGTTCAGAGGGAAGGGGGCATGGCTTAGTCCCAACTCAGCCACAGGGAGGGAAGGGAGCATGCTTTGGCTCCAGTTCAGTCACGGGGAAGGAAGGGGACATAGCCGGGCCTGGATCCAGTCCTGGGGTGTGGCAGGGGGGACAGAGCCATGTGGAGGGAAGCCTCAACCCAGCCATGTGGAGGGAAGTGGGACAGTCTCAGCCCCAACCTATGACACAGGGCTTGGGATTTGCAGTTGGGGAATTTGACAGTGGGGGACAGTGTCTATATTAATCACCACTGCTCCCCCGCTGCCAAATTTCCTGACCTATGCGGAGCCCCATGGGCTGGATACCATGGCTCCATGGGACACATTTGGCAGATGGGCCAGAGGTTGAGCACCCCTGCATCAGAGGGCACTAATGGTTAGAGGAGACATTTCAGGATAAGATGATGCTCTATGTCAATGAGCAATATACGTCAACCCTCATCCAGACGGAATCCAAGGATGAGGAAGTAGAAGGATTGTGGGTTAGGCTACATGGGCGGCAAGGAGAAAGGGATTTGGTGGTAGGGGTCTGCTACAGACCTCCACATCAAGGGGAAGAAATAGATGCGGGGCTCCTGAGGCAGCTCTCAGAGGCCATAAAAGCTAAAGAGGTGGTAGTCATGGGGGACCTAAACTACCCAGACATCTGCTGGGAGACACAGACGGCAAAGTCCCACCGCTCACGCAGGTTTCTAACCTGTGTACAGGACCTCCACCTGACACAGGAGGTACATGGTCCCACTAGGGGGAATTCCATACTGGATCTGGTATTGGCAATGGGGGATGACATGGTAGGGGACCTACAGATCGGTAGCCATCTGTGGGACAGTGATCACCTAATAATAGAATTCACCATAAGACGTCGAGTGGGTAAGGTAACTAGTAGGGTGAAAGTACTAGACTTTAGGAAAGCTGATTTAAATGAACTCAGGCGATTAGTCAAGGACACACTGCAGAGTAGGAGTTTTGAAATGATGGGAGCCCAAGAAGGGTGGCTGTGCCTTAAGAAAACGATCCTTCGGGCACAAAGCGAGACAATCCCCGTGTGGGGTAAAAGAGGGAAAGGGGCCAGGAGGCTTCCCTGGCTGACCGCAGAAATCCAGGGCAGCCTAAGGGTCAAAAGGGGAGCACACAAAAAGTGGAAACAAGGAGAGATCACCAAAGACGAATATACTTCCTCTGCTCATGCTTGTAGGGAGGCAGTTAGACGGGCCAAAGCTACCATGGAGCTGAGGATGGCATCCCAAGTAAAGGACAACAAGAAATTGTTTTTTAGATATATAGGGA